GAGTGACAGGGGCAAGGGAGGAAAGCCTGAGCTCAGGTGCAAGGCCAAGGGAAGGGAGGCGGACCCCCTTCCTTCTGCCAGCCTAGGGCTTCTCTCTCTAATGACCTAGTTTAACCAATAGCCGTGGGAGGCAAGGACGAAGCAGAGGACAATGCTCTTTGAAGACAATGCTGCTCACCCCCTCAGCCCAGCACAGGACCAGGGTGTGAATGGGTGAATTAATGAATGAGCAGATTAATTAATTACCCGGGTGAATGGAGAAGGGGAAGAAATTTTAAAGGAACAAAGTGATGAATGAATACATATATGGATGAATGGGTAGTTGAGTGAATGACTACATTAATGAATACACAGAGGGATGGGTGGACGCGTAAATAAACCGAGGGGGACGGATGGATGAGAGGCCATGCGGTGTAATCGCTAGGGGCCTGGACTCTGAAGTCAGCCTGCCAGGGTTTGCATCCTGGTGCTGCCATTTGGTTGTCCTGTTGAGCAAATTACTTAACCTTTCCGTGCTTCAACTTCCTAATCTGTAAAATGAAAATGCTGATACTTGTATCTGTTTCACTGGTTGTTGTGAGAATATATATATATATATATATATGGCGTGAGACAGTGCCTTACATATAATGACTTGGCTATTCTTGTAAAGAAGAGAGGGACGGATGGATGGATAGATGGGCAGACTCTTGGGTTACTCCAAGAGAGGCTAAGAGGTAGGTAAGATGGGGAAGGGATCCAGCATCATAAGCTGATCGATTTGGGGGTCGCCCTATTTGGTGCTAGGGCCAAGAGGAAAGAGGGCCGGCTAGGACTCCAGAACTTCAGGGGTGGCTGGTAGGGACTCACCATCTCCACGACCTCGACCTCCGCGGTGATACGTAAATGGTACAGAAAGGTAGTCAGGTCCTTTTTCATCTGGATGCTGTTGTCGTCCATCTGGGCCACGGTGAAGATGCGCATCTTGCACTTCCGCCAGACCTGGAGGGGTGAAAGGGACCCAGAAAAGCCCAGCCCAGACGCAGTGAGAAAATTCAAGGTCAGAACCTAGAGAGGACCCTGTCCCTCACCCTTCCCACCCAC